CATTTATAATATTGTTAGACCAAAGTCACGGTTTTAAACCTAAATTGTAAAATACAAGCATTGCCCAATATTATCAGCCCCAAGAAAAAAGAGATTATGAACAATATATCATGAAGGCACAATCCTTGATCAATTGATAAAAGAAAAAATTCTGGAGCAGTAACCATGACTGATTTATTACATTTTCTATATAAACAAAATATTACAATTTTCAATACCATCTCAAGTAGTTTTGCAGCATGTATATAGACGAAGCACGTGTGGGTGGGTGATAATTTGCAAAGATTCCATGATATAATAACCAGTACAAATTGGCCGACAAAATTAGAGGGCAAAAAGCAAATTGAGTATTGAACCTTGAAAACTGGAGGCTCCACATCTTCAACTTTTATACAGTGAGTATTATGATCCTTCATTGGACCAAAAAGTTGAGCCCTGAATACAGGTGACCGCGCAGCAAGGACCAATTTGTGGGCAGCAAAGACTTCCCCATCAACTTCAAAACTTACATCAATTCCTTTCCCACTTTCTAACATTTTACCAAAATCCTGACCTAGGTTAGAAGGAGGGACTGATATGGAGTAGATCTTCGGCCCCTCTGTGTGTGACTTGACAACACCAACACTGCAGTGAACCGACAAGCAATCATCTTTGAGATAGTCCGATGTCTCTAAAAGAGACCTTTTAAAGAATCGCTTGTATCCCCTACAGCATCCATCAAGTAACCAGTTAGTTCTACTTAACTGTACTTTATGGCTGATCACAACAAGCAATTTCATTGAGAAATTGCAGAGAGCTTAACTGGATTACAGCACAGAAACTACATATCATAACATGATATAGAATATTGATAAACAAAATATGAATGAACAGAAACAGCACGTAGAAGCCTAGATTTTTACCTTTAGAATTACAATAAAACAAATTTCGTCCAGCAATATAAACAAATAGTATAAAACCTTCCTTTGGATAAACTTAAACCACTGAGCTTCTCTAAAACACAGCCAAGTACTTGAGAATATATTAGCTAGCATTTTCAGTCTCTTCTTCACTAGTGCATCCAACAATATGAAAACAAATAATAAATAAATAAATAATCTCAATTTCCGTCCTGCAAGCACCAAACTCGAGAGTTTTTGCAAAAGAAAACTTCCTTAAAACATTATATTTTCACGGGACCAAATTCTCAAATCAAACCCATAAATACACCCCAAAAAGAGAATAAAAAAAAAAAACACATGCATCACAATGCCGGAAATGGATACATGAGGAAACCAAATACTTCATGATTGTTTACTACCCACTAAAGAGAGCCAATTGGGACAAAATTTCCTCAGAAAAATGTCTTAGTTTTGAAATAAAATTAGATAATAAACTAGAAAATTTTTCTCAGCTCTGTGCATATCATTCAAGAGAAAAACTGCAAGATGCTGCAAAGCATAAGGTCTAGAAAATAAAGTCTTAGAAAAGTGAGAGACAACAGTTGCAACACAATTAAAATTTAAGAAAAAAATGTCAAAAGATGATTGCCCTGCCAAGGGTTACAGCTTAGACCGACGAGAACTGCAATTGCAAGGATTTAAATCGTTCCCAAACCAAAATGTCGCAAACTGGTGTCTGAAAGATAAACCTTTCCCAAAAATTTAAAAAAGCTCAAAAGACCATCCAAATATAGGGAGAACTTTAGCAGTCGTTAACACATCCACAACTTATACCATTATAAATTAATTGCAATCAGTATCACCTATCTCTATCTCCCAAACCTTAAAAATAAAAGATATTCTTATAGATTCTATCAATATATTTATATATATGTATATATTTTTATAGAAGCCCGGAGCTTAAATGTTTTGCCAATTTTACCTTTTTCTTTTACATTTCTGAAGGGACCTGATACTTCACGTTTCTTAACTATATTAAAAAGTATTTAGCAAATCATCCCACGATTTTGACACCAGTATTAAAATTCCACCTACCCACCATTAAGGGGGAAAACTCGAGAAACGCAATGAAACAAACAGATCAAATACCATGAAAATCGAGAATCCTCACCACATACTACCACGATACTTAAGCGTGTAAGGCCCGCTCTCAAGTGTTCTTCCGAAATGGCTATGCACCTTGTGCCTTTCTTTCCCGCTCTGATCCAACAACGTTAGCTCAAACAACGCCCGCACGTCGGTACCCTCGCTGGCCAGCGCAATAAAAAGCGAAACATACGCGGCATTGTCCTCCACGCTCTTCCCGTCTGGGTAAAAGTAAATCGCCCAGCGGTACCCACCGACCATAAAAACGTCGGAAGCCATATATTTCCCTACACCTAAACCTTTAGACAAAGAGTACCCGGTGATCTTAAACTGGTGAGACCCGTTCACGGTCTCCGTGATAGACGTCGATGTCGTCGTCTGAGGAGAGGACGAGGAAGATGATGCGTGAGAGGAGGAGGGTCTCGAGGTTTCCCGTAAAATTTTACCCATGTCCCTCAGATTGAAATCTTTGAGGGGAATTTCGGAGTTTTAGGCGTTGGATTCTTTTGGGGATCTAGGGTTCGGTGTCGGTGATAATCGGAGAGATTTAAGGTGGGAGCGGAGCAGGAATTTGGAGAACTAAGATTGGATTAAGAGTTTCTCGGGAAAATTAATTGATATTTGCGTGAGAAAATCTAGGGTTTGGTTGGGGGAATTTTTGGAAATTTAAAGTTTATAATGGCGCAGAGAGAGAGAGAGAGAGAGAGAGAGACGATCGAAGATGATGACCTTGTGGTGATATATGCAACATGATGAGAGCGTGGGGTTTTGAAGACTTTCTACGTTAATAACGACTGGAAATTGTTTCGGGACCCCCAAAATGTCACTCGCAGATTTAAGAAATTTTAATTCCCAAAAATATTAATTTTGTAATTATATTATTTTTAAATATTTAAATTAATCCTTATATTTTTCTACTATTTTTATCTGTTTATTTAAAAAAAAACAGTAATTTTTTTTTTAACGTTAAGTTAATTAGTAAAATTACCATATAAATTGATATTGACCACTTGGTGATTCCGAATCAATTGTATACATATCAAATATTACATATTTAATAATGTGACATCTGATATAAATTTTTTATTTTTTATAATATAAATAGACTCAATTAAAAAAATAAATTTATAAAAAAATTAAATTAATTCACTAATTTTAACCGTAAAATTTCAAATTTTCAAATTCATTATTTTGTTCTCTTCTCGCTTTTGTTGATTCTCGTGGATAACTTCAATACAAGTGTTGTAATTTTCTAAAGAATAAACCATTAAAATGAGAGCGACGAACGTTACTCTAACGAGAGTGTGAGGAGAAAAAAAATGGCAAAATAAAAAATTTAGAACTTTTAAATTAAAATGAATGAACCAGTTTTTTAATTAAATCGACTTATAGTATATAAATTAAAAAAATTTAATTATATATGTAAAATTGACACGGATATCGAGTCACTCAAAATGTGTAATATAATCAACTTGAATTTACATGGTAACTTTACAGTACTGTATACTATAAGATACTAAATAAATTTTTTTTAAAAATACAATGACCAAATAATAAAATATATATATACATCGATTCGGTTAAATATGTTGAAGTAGTACGAAAACTAAACTAAATTA